CTCGCGAGGGCATCCTCAGTGCGACCGGACCAGCAGGTGGACATGTTCACAGCAGGGTTAGCAGAACCCCTACGGGTGGATGTCGAAATGCAGGATCCCCCAAATTTGGTTACAGCCATGAACTTAGCCCGCGCGTTCGAACACAAGCTGCAGCTCAGCCGCGGGACCTACAATGTGGGTCGTCCACCGAACTCATGGGCACCTCCAAAATCAGCGACAACGACCCCCTCTTCGGCAGCCAGCTGGGAACTGAGATCTCACACAACCGCCACCTCTAGATCGGTGACAAGTGCAGGTAGCAACATGCCGCTCCACCCATTAAGCGGTTGACTAGGGAAGAAATGGCAGAATGCCGAGCGAGAGGCCAATGTTTCAACTGCGATGACCTCTACTCGGCAGGACATAGGTGCAAGAGGCTTTTTTGCCTCCTAGTTGATGAACAAGAGGAGGAGGAAGAAGAACCCGTCGTATTCGAGCCGGAGATCTCCCTCCATGCGATCACCGGAATTAAAACCTCTAAGACCATGCAGTTACAGGCAAAGTAGCAGGTCAACCGGTGCGCATTCTTGTCGATTCAGGGAGCACACACAACTTCATAAGTGAACATGTCGCCCTTCAGTTAAAACTACCAATGGAACTCCGGCCACAACTACAGGTAGCCCTCGCGAACGGTGAAAGAGTTCACAGTCCGGGAATCTGTAAGAGCGTCCCGATACAGGTCAATTCTGAACTATTTCTTGCTGATTTATTTGTACTCTCCTTGGATGGGTTCGATGTTGTTCTTGGGGTCAAATGGTTAATTACCCTAGGCCTGATTTTATGGAACTTTAGTGCACTCACAATGACATTCCACCTAAATGGGAAGCAATTTTCATGGCACGGTTGCAGGGTTAAAGAGAGGACACCATAGGTCCATGCACTTTAGACAGAACCGGCGGCCATGGAAAGACTCCTCGCCAAGTTTTCAGATATATTCCAGGAACCCAAGGGACTCCCTCCTCCCCGAGCATGCGACCATCGAATTCCTTTGGTGGCGGGTTCAGAACCAGTCGTTGTCCGGCCTTATCGCTACCCTCACCTACAAAAGGACGAGATAGAAAAGCAGTGTACAAAGATGCTGAAACAAGGGATCATACGCAAGAGTCACTCTCCTTTCTCTTCGCCGGTTCTGTTGGTGGCGAAGCAGGATGGAACTTGGAGGTTCTGTGTTGACTACAGAGAACTCAACGGTCGGACGATCAAGGATAAGTTCCCTATTCCCGTTGTGGATGAACTGCTGGACGAGCTACATGGTGCTCAGTACTTCTCTAAGTTAGACCTCAGGTCCGGGTACTTCCAGGTTCGCATGTCTCCTGGTGACGTGAAAAAGATTGCCTTTCGAACCCACCATGGCCACTTCGAATTTTTAGTCATGCCATTCGGTCTCTCCAACGCCCCATCCACATTCCAGTCATTGATGAATGAAGTATTTCAGCCCCATCTACGCAAATTTGTTTTAGTATTCTTTGATGACATCCTCGTCTATAGCAAATCATGGGTAGAGCATGTGCACCATCTGTGGACCGTTTTTGAGCTCCTGCGCCAACACAAACTCTTCCTCAAACGGTCCAAGTGCTCCTTCGGGGAGCGATAGGTTCTTTATCTCAGCCACGTCATCCACGGGCAGGGTGTGACGGTTGATAGTTCCAAAATTCAGGCTATCAAGGAATGGCCCAAGCCTCAATCAGCCATTACGCGGGTTCCTCGGATTAACGGGTTACTACTGCAAATTTGTACAGAATTATGGACTGTTGGCGGCTCCGTTAACCAACCTGTTAAAGAAAAATTCCTTCCGGTGGGACGACGCAGCCGATGCAGCTTTTCTAACATTAAGAAATGCCCTATCTTCCACCCTGGTCCTGCAATTACCAAATTTCGCTCTCGAATTTACAGTCGAGTGTGATGCCTTTGGAATGGGTATCGGGGCCATGTTACAACAGCAAGGGCACCCGATTGCTTTCTTCAGCTGCAGACTGGCTGATCGGCACCTGAAACTTCCGGCCTATGAGCGCGAACTAATCGGCCTAGCCCGAGCCGTCCAGCATTGGAGGCCGTATTTGTGGGGGCGATCGTTCGTCGTCAAAACTGATCATTACAACCTCAAATACCTGTTGGAGCAACGTCTCACCACTTCCCCTCAGTAGCATTGGGTTAGCAAACTGGTCGGGTTTGATTTCTGGGTGGAATACAAGGCGGGATCCTCAAATCGTGCAGCTGATGCCTTGTCTAGGCGAGATGAAGACACGATGGCTCTGTGTGCAATTTCCCAACCCCGGATCTCCCTGTTATACGACATTAAGAAGGCAACGCCACAGTCTCCGGAATGGTCGCTCCTGGTCCAGAAGATCCAGTCCGGCGCTGCCAACTCCAATTGGTCGCTTCACGACGGGTTGGTACTATATAAAGGCCGGGTACATCTTCTGCCTGACTCCCTGTTGATTTCCACCATCATCACCGGCGTCCATAACTCCACCCATGAAGGCGTTCAGAAGACGCTACACCGCGTCCGGGCTGATTTCCATTGGCGGATGAAGACTTCTATTCGGGAGGCCTCCTTCAGCCCCTTTCAATCCCGACACAGATCTGGGCCGACATTTCCATGGACTTCATTGAGGGACTACCCAAGGTAGGTGGCAAATCGGTCCTCTTCGTGGTAGTAGATCGCTTCTCTAAGTATGCCCACTTCATCCCT